CCCTCTCCCTCTCCCTCTCCTTCTCCCTCTCCCTCTCCACTGATGGTCTGTCAGACACCTGCACTTGTCCCCTTTGCCCTGACAAATAACTCAACCTGCCAGGCACCTTCCAGCAGCCTCCTCAGTCTCTGTTCAGACAAGACACGTTGTCTTTAATTCTCTTCCCTAATTTACCAACCAGCCCATCGCCAGCACATTGTGTTCACTTGGATCAGTGCAGATGAGCACAGTAGCTAGGGACACCTCAGCCCATCGTGCCCTGCCTGAAAACCTCCAGGAGCTCCCCACCCCCCGCCCCTCTGCAGAGGTTGATTACACCCTGTTGGGTTATCTGAGGCTTAGGCAGAGTGGGAGGAAACTTTCACCCAAATCTCTGACAGAGCTAAATGGCCTGGAACCCACTCGAAATCGCCGGTCGACCAAAATCTTGGCACTCGGAGCAAGAAAGAATGTATGGAAAAGGGCAGGCTTGGAATGCTAGGGCCGTTGGCCTAGGCACGTGGGAGAGCCACGGAGGGTGTCGGGGAGATGTTGCTGACTTCGGGCCCCTCTGGCAGACCACCCAGAAACACAGACGACACACAGCAGTAGCATGCAGCTGCACACCTTAGCGGCAGACACAGGCACTTCTCTGCCCTGGCTATAGTCTGCTATCCCCTCCCAGCATGGATCCTGGAGGGGGGGGGAGGTAATTTAATTCCTTCACAACTTGAGTTCTCATATTTCCTGAGCTAGCCCTTACTAGGTGAAAGAGCTTAGCCAGGGTGGGTATGGGGTAGGTGCAGCCCATGATAGGCACTCCATAAATATCTTTGAACCATGAATAAATTCCAGCATCGTTGCTTCAAAAAGTGTGTTCTCACAGGACACTTAACCCCGTGAGCTCAGATCCAATACCTATAAAATTGAAATCACAATAGGAACAAAGGGAAGAGCCCTTTGTAAATTCCAGCTGAACACTGCTAGTTGCAAGGGAGGACACTTGACTATGAATCTGTGGTCTCCTGCCTTCCCACCAGGCTTCCCAGTCAGTACTCCTCTTAGATCACCTAGATTTTCAGTATCACACCCATTCACTGAACAAACAGTTAAGTACCCAGTGTGGCATAATACATAGACCATTCCTCTGTCCTCGGGGTGCCTAGTGGATGAGGAGTGAGAATGGGAAACAGATATCCCACCAGGGAAACTCTGTTCTTGAGTGTCTAATATTCAGTCAGGTACTCACTCTCGCTGAGGGCCAGTCACTGTACAGGAGATGGTTCTCGGCACTGGGGATTGTTTGCTGGGCAGGCTAACATAATGAGTCAACACCGCTTACTTCTCATTGGACAGTCCTGGTTGGGCATGTCAGTTGCTGGGGCAACCCTACCGAACTTGGTCATTCAGGAGAAAGCCCAGCTTTCTCTCCTCTTGTGCCTCCACCATTTCCCAGGGCCTTATCATTACTGGGCAGGAGGTGAAACTCACAGGAATGGGCAGAGAAGGTTTTCACATCCAGCTGCATTACACACGTCCACTAGAGTTCTATCAACTAGCGCTCACGTCCACCAGAGTTCTTCCAACTAGCGCTCGGGTGCACGTAACTAAAACGGATCTGAAATGATCCACCTTGTTCCCAAGAAAGCACGGGCATCAGGAGACAGCTCACTGATGCTGATTATAAAGGTATACCAAGAGGCAAGACAGTATCGCTGCCCTCAAAGAGCTCTATGTCTGGGGTAGGGGGTAGGGGGTATGATGAACAAGTCAACGCATAACAACCAGTGTCATCTCCTACAATATGAAGATAATAAAATAGGGGTGCTATAGTGCCTGGGGTGGGCAGGCTCCTGTTTTAGATGGAGAGAGGGTTGATCTAACCAAATGACAGACAACTGGAACCCGTATGGGAACAAGTTAAGGAAGATTACGAAGGCACAGGCCCTGAGAGGAGCCAAGGGCGGTAGGACCTGCCGTAGAAGAAGGGAGACCACTGGAGAAGAGCCAAGGAGACAGGGAAGGACCACACTGTCATGTCTTAGAAGCCAAGCTAAAAAAAAAGAATGGATTTCAAACATAAGCTATGTGTGCGTACCCACTTCCACCTGCACGATGTATTCATTAACCTAGTCATTGCCCTTCTCCATCTTTGCCACAAATCCAGGTTCCCACATCAGCAGGCTTCTAGAGGGGAAGCAACATCAGGATGCTAGAGAACAAGAGAAGGGGAGAAGCCTTTCAGGAGGAACTTTCCTTTTCTACCTCAACAGAAGGGCTTCTGCAGCCGGGTTCTATCATCTTCATGGCTCCTGCTCCTGCTCAATAAGCATGCCACGGTCCAGCTTTCACTAGGAGATTCTAGACTCTGGCCTCCTTTGGCATGACTTCCTTTCTTTGTCCCATTGGCCCCACCAACTGCTAATGGAGTACCAACTCTTCTTGCTAATACATGCACTGGCTTCTCAACCTTTCAATCACCTGTGTAGCCAAGACCTACCTGCAACTCCCTCTGTGTAGACATGGGAAGGACTTGAGTTCCTCAGCTGGACCCTAAGGACTGCAGCTTGGGAAAGTCCTGCAGCGTAAGGTGCCAGGTCCACACTCACTGAATGGGTTTTCTACTTACTGCTGTTGCAACCATACATGTTTCTTATCATGCGGTTCCAAACATTAGAAGTCCGGCTCTCACTGAGCTGAAAATCCCTTGAGTGGAACTGGAGAATCTGTTTGCCAGGCTGTAAGGGCTGCACCCGCCCATGGCTCACAGTCCTCCTGCCTGAACTTCATGCTAGCAATGGAGGTGGGACATTTCTCAAGATGCCACCACTCCGCTTGGACCCTGTTGGTCCCTGTTCATGAATGTTCGTAATGACGTTGGTGTTGCACAGACAACTGGCATAGTTTCCTGTGTGAAACCAGCTGCCACAGGCCTAATTCTATCTGGAACGTTAGCTGACCCTTGCCATGTGAAATAACCCGTTCATAGGTTCCAAAGATTAGGACAGGGACATTTATGTGAAACATAATCCTGCCCACAGGATCATGACCACGTAAGCTAGTGACAGGGAATAAATAGGAGGGCGTCAGCAGGTTTGCTAAAGGACAGCAGTGTGGTACTGTATGCGGTCCACATGAGAACCTATGCCCGTGTGCTGACATGAAAAGTGGAGACAGGGGTCCTTTGGTCTCTTGGCTCAGAGATGTTCTCTTGTGATGCTTGGATCATGACTTGCCGTGGCCAAGTCCTCGGCACATGCTCTTGCCTGCCATGCCTGGGATGCGATGGTGGGACACAGCTCCTGTTTGTCTCTCACTCAGGGTGGCACGTAGGTTTCTTGTTTTCCCCCAGAGAAAGGTTCATTGTGGAGAGGGGAGTGGGTGAAGGCAAACTCTTGGCTGCCGCACGTGAGGCCCATCAGTTGCATTTCAGAGACAACTGGAGTTGACGCAGGCATCCTTTCCAAATGTAATCAAACGCCTCCTGTTGCCAGACGATGTGTTATTCAGTGAGGTTCTGGTGAGGGTTGTTGAGAATCCGAGATGCCTTCTGTAACTCTATCAGATGGGTCCTGGGGGGAGAAGGAGGGCGGAGAGGGACTTACTTCACAGGCTAGTTACCTTCCAAACTGTTACGATTAGCTGCTGAGGAAGAGATCCCCAAAGAGGGGGCAGGGGATGATGCTCTTGTGGGAGGGTAGGCCATGGGAAGGACCCACAGCACAGACTCTCAAGGAATGGCTGCTGAAACAGAGATCCACAGAACAGTGGCAAGCCAGAGAGTAGGGTGGGAGAATAGGCCATGGGCAGGACCCACAGCAAAGACTCTCAAGCAGCATCCTGTGCCCTGCTAACCTATTTCTGTGTGTTGGAGGTAAGTTTGAAGAGGACAGAGCTTGGGTAAGTACACACACACACACACACACACACACACACACAGGCAGACACACACACACACACACACACACACACACACACACACACACACACACACACACACACCCTGGATGACCTAGGCAAAACAAGATGAGAAAATCTTTGTCAGTCTGATCTGTGGTG